AAAAAAAGTTCTTACAGGGCCACAAAAAAAGACAAAGGAGATAGGCGGAGCTGAGAAGAAACAGTTGGAGAAACACGTAATAATTAGTTGGGTTCATTAGAAACAAGTAAGTAACAGGTAACACCAGCAGACGCTCTGAGATCCAGGAAGAAATCAGTATGCGGCGAGCCACTTTTTTCATGACGTGTAGGTGCCGTGAGATTTGAGAGGCGCTAATGGAATTAATGAAACAGCAGAATGTCTCACTTTCAAGACTTTCTGTGTTTTATGCGAGCAGGAAATGCAAATCATTCTGTTAAGTCTACATCTCCATTCTACACAGCGTCCCATCTTTTGCAGCTTGTTACATATGTGTTGCATGAAGGATGACTTCCGGCATGTATTTTGATCTCGATGTGCCTCGCCATATTGTTGGGTGTGATTTTTATCGCGCATTTCGACACAGAGATACACATTAAACGGCGGAAGAATGTACGTTTTACCAAAAGGCAACAGTGGGCATTTCAGAGAACTTTTCCTCTTTAACAAAGCTCACGGGCGATCAGATTGGTTCCCAGTCGCCCTTTTAAACCAAGCAATGGCAGCTAGACTGCTGTACAGCGTGCTCTCCGGCCACCAATAGGAAATTAGGGCTCTTCCCAAATACACCTGAGCATGGAAAACCTTCACATATTGAACTGTGAACATGGTTATTAGTAAAGTTATTGTTTAAAAGATGTGGGCATTATAAGACCCAAATGTAGAAATGAACAGTCATCCCTCTTGTTAATTTTTCAAGTCACCAGTTAACCTAACATGCATGTTTTTGTACCATGGGAGGAACCTACTGGAGCAAACTCCACCATATTTAATACCACGGCGTGAGAAACCTTTTCATTTGGTTCAGCTGTACCAAACTTTTTGAGACAGCAGATCTAATTGTTCAGGCAGTTTTCTCTAATTCAATCGATCTAAAGTTGTCTTTTTTTGTCGCATCGCTGGGACATCAGACATCGTTGTCACACACTCTTGATGTGCTGAGGGATAAGGGAAATTGATGTGAACGGCGCGCACATTGTCGCCACTTTCCGGAGAGACCCGCAAGAATGCACAAGCAGCCCACAGATGGTCCTGTGAAGCCCCTTCTGGGCTCCGAGCTTCTCAAGCCGGGATCAGATGAGATGCCGTGGGATAGCGGGTAGATAACGGTTCAGGGGACAGCCGTGATGATGTGCCCTGCAGGCCTGCTGGGATCTGAGGAGTCTGAGAACTGATTGAACCTGGCTCTCCGTTTCCAGGGCGCTGTTTGCTGTGACAGTGCCCACAGCGCAGTGACCACAAACGCTTGATTCTGAGGATAAGGGAAGCAAAAGGAAGAGGGGGGAAAAGATAAAAAACAAAGCGAGACATGCTTCTGCTGGGAGTTGAACAGTTGGACCGCATCGACTTCGGTCTTCCAAGTCAGCCAATTAGTGACAAACATGACTCCACGCAGCAGTGCTGCTTCTCATTCATTTGTGCCCGTTGCAGAGCTGGAATTAAAGAAAATGGCTGCATGTGGAGATTACCATATTACTGGAAGATGATCCTTTTCCCGACACATAAACGATCTTATCCAATTTGTGTACCCATCGTTGTAATTGTTTACAATTCCCATGAGAAAAATACAGCTTTATGAACCGACTTCATTACTATTATCCTGGCACCTTTCATTTTGGTGCAGTAAAATCAGCCTCAGATGTGCCTGTTTAAAACAGAAACTATTGGCATTTACTTTTATTGCATAGACGTTCAACACAAGGAGAATTCCACTATGGGCAAAGGCAGATGTGTCAGACAGAGGGCTGTTTGCTGTAGACAAAAGAGTTTAGTAATATCTAAACCCGACTTAATTTCTCACTACAGATTTATTTGTGAAAATGCAGAAAAATATGACTTATTTGTTATAACACAGCCTGATGCAACCAACCTGTGTGTAATGAGACCAAGAACTTAGATTGTTGAGGACAGTTTGCAATCAAAAACTCAATTAGGCTGAACAACTGGAGTTGGGTTACTCATGCCCGGGTGGTCATTTGTAGTGCGTTTGTAAAGGTGAGTATTTAAACGTTATTGACTCTTTAGCAGTGTTTTTTCAATATTTTTTTATAAAACAACACATCGCATGTAATGTTTCTATTCATGACAGGACAGTGATGTTTTGAGAATGTTTTTTTTTTGTTTATTTTGTTAACCAAGTGAGACAAGTTTTGCTTCAATCAACAAGAGAACTGTGATTTGATTTCCTTTAAATGCATTTTTATATTGCTCATGCAGTATGGTATGATTGTACATATTCATGCAGAAATACATTATTGATTTACGTAGATGACAGGGGAAAAGAATAGTATTAGTTTCAAAACATAGTTTAAATACATAAACAGTAGAATTTAAGTAAAGAGAGCAATGGGAGCTCAGTTTTCCTAAATGGTCAAAATCAGGGGCGTGAGAAATCAAACTTCATACATCGTAATTGACAAGGGATCGGAGCTGAACTTTCCAGTCAAATGAAAAACACCAATTGAACGCTAGGGGGCAGCAGCGCGTTAAAGGGCGCTGGCATGCTCACAAATATTTGCACGAAGAATACCAAGAGACACAGAATTAGAAGACATAGAACAGTTTTCTCCACCCTAAAGTGATTAATGTGCCTATCGTTCTTTTACACAAGAAGAGTATGTATTCAGTTACTTCCTCAATGGACATTGGTAGTGTTGGTGTGTAACTCCAGTGTTCCGTTCTGTATATTTACATTCAAACAATTCAATTTAACTAAAATGAATTATTTGTTTATATTTACGAAAGTATCAATAAAATAGATATAACATTAAACGACATAGGTCCTAAGTGATACTTCGCAGAACACATTATGGACAACATGTCACATAATTTAAAGATATTTTGTGTTTGTTCCAATGTGCAGCTTTTCTATGTGCCGAACTTCTATGGTGTGGATGTTGTATTGTTTTGATTAGGAAAATCATTTAAGAAAAAGAAGGGAATACATTAACTAAGGTTAGTTTGGACTTGGTGGATATACCTATATGTATATTAACTATGTCGTATGTTAATATTTCAAACTGTGTATTCACGTGTTGGCGTAAAACGTAAACAGAAGGTTCGATGTGTCCGTTTGCTCGCCAATACATTGATCACAGAGCTAATGCTAGCCGAGGGAACAGCTAGCTCCTGGCCCAGTTGTTTAATGTGCTGGAGGACTGCTTATGATGGCGTTCAATTAAAAATAGCTCTGTTTCCGACTGTCGTCAATAATATAAAATATATGTCAGTCTTAGAACCGAAAACTGCTGTGTAGTATTTGGAGCTTAGACGTTAGCACTAGCTAACTGGCTGGTATGCGTTAGCCTTCGTTAGCCTGTTTGCCATGCAACGACCTGTACTTTCACCTAGTTTTAAAAGAGCTCCACTAAGGCAGGACGTTATGGTGTAAATGTTGTTAAAGTAGACGTTGTTTTCTTTAGCTTGTCTGCTTGCTGGTTATGTTGTTTTTTCAAATTGGTGAAATAATCAAGTCTGTACGTTAGCTGGCTCTTCCTCCTCACGGCCTGTTTAATTGAACATTTAATTGAACACCCTAATTGGACAATATATAGTTTGAAGCTATTTAACAGAATTAAAGTTTGAAGGCGATTTATTTGTCTCAGCCAGAGATAACTTGACAATGCTGTTTCAAATCAGTCAGCAGTAAAAGAGTTTTTGAAATCTTGTCTTAAAATTTAAATTGAGCTTTCTTTTTATAACCACAAATCTGCACGTGTTCAAATACTTATGCTCTATCATTATGCTCTATTCCTATTTGTAAAATCCAAAGAAACACAATATTGAGAAACATGAGCACAAGTTTATTGTGCTCATGTTTCTCAATATTTTGATTTGTACTTTATGTTGAGTTGTGTTGAGTTGAGTCTTCTTTGCAGTAAGATGAGCCAGGAGGGAAAGTTTTTTTTTATTTTTTATGGCACCATTACAGAAAGCATACAACTCCAAACCACCGCATTGTGACTCTTAATGATAGATTGGAATATTCTTTCTTGGTTAAACTCCTTTCAGTAAATGTTTGAATCCTCCATCATGAGCTGAGCACCAGCAGAGGTCACTGCAGCATAGCCTTCTTCAGATGTACTAAAAAGCAAGACTATGCATCTCTGGGAAAATGTACATGCTATTTGTAATTATTACATCTATTTTGATTTTCTAGCTCAGAGCTAAACATTTACACATTGCAGTCTTACCTGGAAGGTCTGAAAGTAACTCTCTCACAGAACAGAAGGAGACTGTTTTATCAGAGAAGGGGAGATATTTTTCTATGAGATATTCTTTAGGGGTATATTTCCCTTAAAATGTTCTCCAAGAGGCTTTTTGCTTTGGCAGATTTGAAAGTAGGTAGTGGCAGGGGACTGAATGCAGTCCCTTATACAGATGTTTTCTTCCCAAGCTGGAATTTAAGAACAAGAGGTCATGAGTTACATCACTATCTTTGTATCACCGTACAGTTAAAGTTGATGCTTTCTCAGTGAGTTTAGTGTTTTCTGCAATTCAACTGCCTTTTGAAGTTGGTAGGAATATGTTTAAATTATTTCTAACCAAGATGTTTTGAACTCAGAAAGAACTAAAAGTTAGTTGAGTTTACTCAAGGGCTCGGCTTATACACGTTATATTTAGTCTCTTTTGCCTTTCCTCACTGTAATGATTACGGCAAGAGGAAACGTGACTGGTCAGGAAGAAGTTTTGAGCCAAGACAAGGAGGGGGTTTTGATAAAAAAAAGGGAGAGTCTGCTGCAGAAGGAGCGGCCTATTTCCTGGCATTGCTGATGACCATGCCTCTAAATCTGACCCAGGTTGTCTGTGAACACTACTCCGAACTCCTGGCCCTTTTAGATCATCGAATATTACTAATTTAATTAGTAGATGTTATCAAACACTCATATATTTCCCATTTCCCCTTTTGCATCTCGCTTTAACTGGCAGAAGTAATGGAAGAGCAGACGGGCTCTCCTGCAGCTAACGCTGACAGCAACAGCCAGAGGAATGGAGATGAGGTGAGAGATTTCGGCGACTTAAACCAAATTAAATCACAGTGGGGATTGCCCTGTTTTCTAATACCCGATCATATCCGATCGTCCCTGTTGTGTTATCTTTACAGAAGCCCCGGCGGGGCAGCTGGACCAAAGGGAGGAAGAGAAAGAAGCCAATGAAGGACAGCAACGCACCTAAGGCGCCCTTAACGGGCTACGTCCGCTTCATGAACGACAGGCGGGAGCAGCTACGAGCAGAGCGCCCAGACGTGCCCTTTCCAGAGATCACCAGGATGCTGGGCAACGAGTGGAGCAAGCTGCCCCCTGAGGAGAAGCAGGTCAGCGAGGAGTCCGCAGACTGGACGGCACGCTGGGCGGCTGCACAGACACGCGTCTCGGAGCCTAAATTTCCTCTCCTTCACTTTTTGAATGTGTGACAAGGTTCCAGGATTACCAGGAAAGTGCTTACAGATAGAGAAGCACTCATCTGGATTTATTTCTAAAAGCTGCTGTTAAGAAAACATCAGTGCTTGAGAGAAGGCAACCGGACGTCCTGGATCTTGAAGAATTTTCAAGATCCATAAAGAAGTCCAGCTGCCTTTACACAAGCTTTGAGGATAAGATAATGAGAATCCACACCAACATTGTTATCAAATAAGATCAGACTCCAAAGTGGCCCACACAAAAAAGATTAAGAAAGATTAATATTGGTTTTCGCGTATCACAGGGTACCCATAGAGACTGGAGGAAAAATAAACATCTTTATGTTCATTTCCATGTTGAACTCCTTTTGTTAAGCATACTAGCTCAGAAATGAACAGATGGGAGTTTTTCTCTGAGGCAGTAATAAACCGCTAATAAGGCCGCCGCATAACAGCCATTTTGGAGGAGCCATTCTCCATGCTTTTGCCTTTTGTTTTTTTCATAAAGCTCCACAGAAACATCCGATTGCATAATACCTTTTGCTTACCAGTGTGTTCCTGTTTTTATCGGGGAGGGAGTTCTTCCAGCCTATCACCTCCGAGAAGATTGAATGTTGGGACATGTTTTGGTTGGTGGACGCAACGGTGGAATAGAGCCCACATAACTTTCCAGATCATTAGCTCCTCTTGTTGTTTCATTTATTTTAAAGCTTCACCTTTGATCTCAAGAGTAAAGATTGCTGTCTGAGTCATTCTACAAATTAGGATTATTGTTATTATTACCAGATAAAACTTCTGCCATAAGAATGTAGGGATCGCTTCTTTATCATTTAGGCTTTTGAAGGTCCTTGTCTTTTGAGAAGCAGCAACCCCTCCCACTCATCGTGCCGTCTCACCCACAATCCTCCTTCACCTTGTCTTGCCGGTTGTGCTCATTTCCAGCCGTGGCTCCTCTCACCTTCCTCTCTTCTCTCTGCAGAGATACTTGGACGAGGCGGAGCGAGATAAGGAGCGCTACATGCGGGAGCTGGAGAAGTACCAAAAAACAGAGGCCTACAAACATTTCACCCGAAAGGTTCAGGAGAAGCAAAAGGGCAAGAGGCACAGGGGAGGTGAGAAGTAGTAAAGAATTTGTTTAAAAAAAAAAAACCTTCAGGTTAGGCATCAAAAACTGATGAGGGTAAATTTGGCAAAAAGCCCAATTTCACTTTTCGGGCTTCCCTCCCGTTAGGAAAGTGTTTGGGAAGTGGCCGCAGATGTTTGGGTAAACAGTCATTGTTGTCATCCAATTTCTGTTGGGTTTGGTTATTCCTTTTGCCCAATCTGTAGAAAATGGCAGCAAATGTACTATGTTTGTCTCAGTTTATGTTGTAAGACAAACAAAAGCTGTCCCTCTTCCTCTTTGTTTTCCCATCTAACAAAGGCTGATGAACATCAGCTCTACCCTGCTCAGCATCCTGGAAAACTGCCCCACCAAACCAGGCGCTCTGCTTCATTTCATTTCTCCTCATTGATATAAAAAGCAGCGAGGGGAATTTTTAGTCATTCTCTTAGTTTACTATGATGTAAAAGCACTCTGCACTGGAGAAAATATGATTCATCTGATGTCCTCCACATTTATCCTTTCCTTCCTCTCCAGATGTTGGGCACCAGGTTGCCAGCGAAGCACTCCATGAGGTCAGTAAGCTCTTTCCTGCACACTCACGCTCACAGTTGTTTTTCTGTGGAGGCAAAGATCGGGTTTCTCTAGGTGAAGAAACTCTCAGAGCAATCTCACGTGCTTCACAGACACGTCAAAGCACGAGGCGGACGAGACCTCCCCAGACAGACTTAATTGAGTTCAGATGTGAATAATAAGTCAGAAAAGTTGCATGAGGCTTTTGGGAATGTTGAAAAGTAAAGGGGTCTTTGAAATGCTGTTTTATTTAAAAAAAAATATATATATATATATATACAGTATATCTCACTGATGTTGTTATTTGTTGGGTAAAAAAATCCATAAATGTTTTAGCTAGAAAATCCATGTGCTGCCAACCAGCTAGCTTGGCTGAACGTGTCTCACATGGAGAATTGTAGGTGCGCTGTTCAAATCTGAGAAGCTGCAGAGCACAGTGAGGGCAATAAGGACCAGAGTCTTCATCTGTGGTCCAACGGTGTGGAGGGAAGAGTCTGGGGAGGCGGCCGATTGAAATAAGAACTGCTGTATCAGCAACTGAAAGCCGGAGACTGGTGAATGAACTTTCATTCTTAAGGCCTTATTGATGCTTCCTGGAGAAACGTGCTTCTTAGATGTCCGGTTTAAAGCTGGGACTGATACCATTGTGTGAGAGGCGGTGGCTTAAGGGGAACAATGCCTATCCCTCGCCAATAGGCAATTAAAGAGGCAACCGCCCTGCCCCGTCTGCACGGTGGGACATACCATTAACCAGCAGGGTTGTCATCACCCAGCTGATTCCACAAGCTTGTGCAAGCTTACTTGTGTGGAGACAGCGGCGTTGGGCTTAGCCAGACAGAAGTTTGGCACCACAGGGGCTAACAAAGATGTTCCGATCACCCGGCCTCAGTAAGACACCTGCGACCACGTGCTAACAGCCGCCTGGACGGAAAATGGTTCGCCCCGGCGGCACGGTGTACGCGTCAGACTATCGGCCGTTATCTCTGCATTTTATTTTATTTATTTATTTTTATTTATTTGTTTATTTGACAGGGACAGTACAATTAAACATTGCAACCAAACAGGTGGCCGATGTCCAAGTGCATAAGGCTTGTAGCCATGGGCTAATTTGCAGCCTTCGTCCCTGGTTAGGCTTTTAAAAGGTGTTAGCATTAAGGGGGAGGGACAACACACAGATGCATAAGAAACAAGATAAGTTAAAACAAAAAAAGAAATGTAAAGTACAAGCCAGTTTAGTGCTCACACTCTTGATTGTCTTTGAGCCATTTATTCAATTTTGTGGAGAAAAGTCGAACATCAGTCTGTGACTTAAGCTCCAGAGGCAAAGAGTTCCAGAGATGTGATGCTTTCACTGAGAAGGTGGACTGACCCATAGATGTCCAACATCATGTCCATTTCATCATGTGCTGAAGTAAAACCACTTCCGCCAACTTTATCTGCTAGTTTCTACGTTGACCACAACCAAAGCTGCTGGCTGTGTGTTTACATGCACACAAAGCAGGTGACTGAGGCCAACAGAAGTCTGTGATGTCCGGTGAGAATACTCGACTACGTCCACTTATCATATCGCAGCAAACGAATGAACAGCAAATCTGTTTTTGTGGTCCAAACAAAACACTTTTTACAAAGTGAGCAATTTATTTGTTATAACGTATGGCTCACATCCTCCGGAGCTCTCTCAGAATGCTCCAAAGGGTTACAGGCAAGGTGAATGAGAGGAGCACTCCTCTGGGAATACCATTGTTTCCTAAGGGTTTGGGTTTGGGGATTAACGTCATTATGTTAAGAAATGAGGAGGGATGATGCATAGCCTCGCAGAGAAGACTATGAAAGCTGCATTGTATCTCTTGCTTCTATTTCCAACCCCTTTTTTTAAATTTTATTGCAAAGCCTTTCAGAGCCTCTCATACCTCAGAAGCGGCGGTAATGAAATTACATCTACCTCTGCATTTCCTAAAACCGTTCTCTGTATTTCCCCAGCGGCCAGATATGAAATCAATTAGGAACCCACCCGCAGCCCGGCGAGATAAATGACCACATCTCGCTGTCAGCCTGTGCGGCCAGATGTTTTCATCCCGTAACGTACCCTTTTCCCTCTCACAGAAAGACGCAGAGGGGAAGGACAGAACTGTGTTTGACATACCAATCTTCACAGAGGAGTTTCTTAACCACAGCAAAGGTAAAGAGCTAAAAATGCTTTAGTTTCGACCTCCATTGAACACATATCTTTTCCACCACAGCAGAACCTTCCCACAGCACACTTCACCATCCTAAAACAGTTCTCAATGATGTCACTAAAATTTTGAAAGCATGTTTTAAAAAAAAATATGACGGAGCATCTGGCCGGGTCGTTTGGGCCGCCTTGCCATTTTATTTTATTTTTTCTCTTTCTCCAGCGCGAGAAGCTGAGATGAGGCAGCTGCGCAAGACCAACATGGAGTACGAGGAGCGCAACGCCGCCCTGCAGAAGCACGTGGAGAGCATGCGCGGCGCGGTGGAGCGGCTGGAGGGCGACGTCATGCAGGAGAGGGGCCGCAACGGGCTGCTGCGCCAGCACCTGGAGACCCTGCGCCAGGCGCTGGCCTCCAGTTTCTGCTCCGTGCCTCTGCCAGGTGAGGAGCAGCTCCCAGTGCGGAGGGACTGGAGTCACAACACTTTGTCCCACTTCCCATAGGCTGCTTCACAACCATTCCAACTCATCGACACACTGATTGGTGACTATGGCTGTCAGGGCTCATGAGAGCTCTACTACCCCCCTCTCCCCAAAGTCTAGCTCAGAGCTGAAAAAGCCGTTCAGATGATCAATGTCTTTATTCATTTATACTGGCTCGATATTTTTAATAACTGATAACTAATCAGACAATGAAGAAAAACACCATTAAGTGACCTATTACTTTCAGGATGACATTTAAGAGGGCGAGGCACAATGACTCAGTGCAGTTAAGCAGTTTGCTTTAGTCAGCTTTTGAATCCATCTTAATCTAAACTTTTGTTGTTGTTTTTTTGTTTTTTTAAATATTAATAATGTTTCTTCCTGTTTGTGCCAGTGGTGCCTGAGTCAGCATTCACTGTTCTTCTCTTGTTATCCCCTTCAAAAAAACGTGTTTGAATTCCTTCCCCAAACAGCGCAGCACCGACTCTGCAAACATCAGACATTTTCCCCACAGCTCCGAAACGATTTCATAAGAGCATCACAATCAAAGATGATTGCTCCTCTCCCAGGTTTGGCCCCAGGGAAGCTCTGTGCCGGTGAATTAACAACACACCACATCAGAGGTCCCTCTGACTTTAATAGCGTTTGCTATTGAATTTACAAAGAACAGGGTTTGCCTTTTTTTTTTTTCAGCTTTCTTGCTGGAAGCTAGCGAACGTAAATCCACATGTTTGACTCTCACTTTAAGAATGCTGAATGCACAAAACTGTAAGCAATGATCCTAGTAAATAGAACTCTGAGGGATGATGGGCGTCTGATTTTGTTACAGTGAAATGGATTGTAATTGGTTTGCATTTGGCTGAATCCGAATACAGCCTATTTCAAACCTCAAGATTACGTTTTTGCGACACTATATGAATAAGATTAGACTCAATACACTAAAGAAACTCAAAATCTGACCAACACGAAAATATAAGTGACTCCCCCTTCTTAAGACTCCATTTTAATTAAACAGTCAATATTCAGTTGTTTGCCTTTACAGCTGACTTGGATCCCAAGTTAAAAGTAGAGTTAAATTCATATTTTTTTTGTCCACAAACACATGCAGGACTTTAAAAAAAACATCCAAACTTTCGAGTCATACCACATTTGTAAGTTTGATACAAACCTCCTTGCTACTTTTCACAAAGCTGTTGTTTTTGCACATTTGAACTCATGACAAGTGTCCTATATTTACCGGCGCAGATATTCAAATAAGCCGATGTTGTAGCGTAAGAATCACTAAGACTCAACTGGCTGTGACCTTTTTAGAATGCGTCTGTGAAGCCACAAAGACAGTCGGGAGCTAGACGTGTCTCTAATGTTTTAAAGCGCAACTGCTTATTGAAAACAGTAAAAGATAGGGGCAGCTTTACGTCTAAACCACTCTCTGGAGCTCAAAACAGACTGCCAGAGCTGGGGAATATGCATCTGTTTACACATTCCAACCCTCGCGTTCACTTATGTTATCTCCCTTTCAAACACAAGTTTTGAAAGGGAATAAAATAAACTCGGCTTAGCTCTACGCATTTCGCACTTCTTAGAGGTGAATCCCGGGACTGACTAAACTGATCTAGAGCTTGGCACAGCGTTAACTGTCACTTTAATAAATAAGAGGAGCATTGAACATCCTATGTGTTTGCTGGCCTTTTGTATACACAATTTATTTTTCAGTTGCCTAAACATCCAGGTAGAAGCTCCGCTGCTTGCGTGGAGCCCCTTTTGACTCCACGCTGTTCGAAAAACGTTGCCACAAGTGTCCCAGACGATGAGCTAACGCCAGTCCGACATCTGTGCTTTAGGCAGCGGAGAGACGCCCACCCTGGACACCATCGACGCTTACATGAAGAAGCTCCACAGCATTATCGTCACCAACCCTCAGGAGCACGAGCATCTCATCAGCACAGTGAGAGACGTGGTGAACCGTCTGGACAGGTGAGAACGTTTGAATTATTGCTCAATTTTATTTGTATTTCGTAAGCCAGTTGAATCACTCTGTGGCCAAACTGTGTCGTTTCGAGCTTTTATTTATTTAGCTGTCCTGGACCTGTAAGAAATGTGTCAGCTGTGGTAAATGTGTCTCTTGTGCCTCTTTTCCTGTGGTTTGGACTAGATAATTGGACCATGTCGAGCGGATCTGACAGACCGGGGGCTCGTTAATGCCGAGTCGTCTCGTCGACATACCAGTTTGAGGTCAAGAGTTTGTTTCTTACTCCTCTGTGATCATATAGGTGAACGTGGTGTCGTGACTCATTTATTTATTTATTTTTTACAGATTTTTTTAACAGAAGTTGAAAATAAAAACGAAACATTTCTGTTCAAACTCAATTAATAAAGCTTGTATGGATCAGACCACACCTCTCCTGTAACACCACTATCAAGCATGTTTTCTGCGTATTTGTATTTACCGAATCCAAGAAATGTTGCTGACACGTCCATCATTTATGAACATTTCCAGAAAAAATGTGCCATTATATGTTTTATCCAGTGTGAAAGGTGTTTGTATTTTCAATAAATGTTTTTTTGTCATCGGAACCTTGTTTTTTATATGTTTTTTTCATCCAGGAAATCAATTTCTGCTATGAGTGTAAAGTTTTTCCTGTTGACTTTCGCACTTTAAATGTGCTAAAAAGTTGAATTTCATATAGAAATGAAAATACCAAATGTTCGAGGCAAACGGTAATGACAACTGTAAAGGGGATTTTACACATGACTGTAGACAGATATTTTAACCTCTCTCAGTGGGCATTTATCGATGAATTTACCTTCTTAAAGTATTTCTCCAGCACCAGTCAATAAGGTATACATGATATAAGAAAAAGGGTCATGACCTCCCTAGCATGGTGCTTACACCACCGTGCTTCTCTGCAGGGAAGAGGTGTTTCCTGTAAATGTCGTCTTAGACCAGACAACTTTTCGTTTACTTCCCTGAAGATTGACAGTTATTAGAGAAATTATCAAGGTAATATGTTTAGACTAGCTGTGAAATACTTTATCGATTGTGTAGACATTAAATTGCACACATTCTGTACTTCCTACCCAGTCTTATGTGGATAATATGTGGACATGTGGGGATGTTTTGGGAATTTATGCAGCAGATATTATAGAGGGCACCGCCTAGCTTCACACACATTTAGTTAGAAAACCAGGGTATTGAATAATAAGATGATAATAATTAATGATAGTTTGTCCTGCGTTACTACAAATTGGGCCGACATTGGCCCACTTTTTCTACAACTTTTTTTGCCCACTTTTTTTTTATACTGGGGCTATAGAGGAAAGATTGACATACACAGGACAACATCTCCAGTATCCCAGCATAATACACATGAAGGCGCCGGAAAGACCTGAAGGCTCAGCTGCATGCCGGTCTAAACATTTTGACCAAGTGAAACCTTTAACCGTGCTGACTGAATGACTTCAGCCTCAAAGCGAAGAATTTATTATTTTTGTGGGTCAGATGGCACTTTGAAAGAGAACCGCCTCCTGTGAGACTCCCTTTCCCTTATTAGAGTTGTTTACCTTGCAACGTGTGGGATCATCTTTCATATGAGGATGTTTGTGAAGCAGGTCTCAAAGCTCATTTGTATGATGAGCTTTTTCTCTCTTTTTTTTTTTTGCCTTTGCCTTGATGTTAGCCCAGGCCTCCAAAAACAACACAGGGCAAGGTGTGAGTGACTGGCACTCGGTAATGGCTTAGACTTTCTTTTCTGTGTCACTCAGGGTTCAGGGTGTCCCGTCGGTCCTCTCTGGGTGAGATTTATCTGAAGGCACGGCTGAATTCCGCTGCCCGGCTCCTGCCACCAGAATAATCTCACAAAGGCCTCTGTCTCGACAAAGAAACACAGTGGAATCCAAACGTCTTCTCCACCTCCTCGCCGGGCACATGTCTGCATTGTTGGCTGGCTTCCTGTCCGAGGAGTGGAAGGGTTGACATGAGGACAGAGGAGCCAGCTCCAGCAGAGAGCTACAGATCCCGGACCCGAGGAGGGAGGGAGTGACTCAGAGGAGAGGGGATGAGTCAGGCAGCATGTGCTGAATTGGCAGTTGGTGGTATCGGTGTCCTGAATGGCGTCCGTGTCCACAATGGCATGTAGTGATATGGTCAGATTGAGGCACCTTATTCTCCTGCGCTAATGCTTAATCCGAAGAGCTTTGGCTTAGTCATGTGGGCTCACGGACAAATGGGAAACACTGTTATCGTATGTGTGAAGCACTGGTGAAGGTTTTTAATTGACAGCCTGCGATCAATAATTCAGTCAGTAAAAGGGTCACTGTAGTGGGCCGGTACCATTCATGCCATCTAAAAAGACATTTTTCGCTTTTTCAGGGTTGTTTTAACGGACATGTAATGAAAAGTCAGCATAGCCATAACCGAGGAAAAAAGCACTTCATAATCTGCGTTTCTTTTAAAAAATACAAGTTTAAGCAGCCTCCAAAAAGCTATGTAGACTCTGAAATTCAATAGCTTGCAAAACCAGCTTTAGTGGCAGTAATTTGATGTTACCAGTCACCCCCATCACTATGGAAGAATGTTGGCCCACTCTGCTTTATCGTCTTACCAACATGTTAAGGAAGTTTGCCGTTATTTGACCAGCTGTCTTATCACACTTACGTCCGAATGGCGGCTGAGCCTGTGCCTCTGAAACCATCACTCTGACAACATTATGTACTAAAAGTATTGTTGTTCTTCTTCTTTTCTGGCAATTCTGTTTCAATCTTTTACTTAAACATTTAGGATGCCGAGGCCTCCGGAGTCTGAGCCTGTTTTTTTTCTTTTTTTGAGCTATTTCTCTGAGCGTGCTGCCATCCGAACCTGGGGTGAATTTGATGAGACAGCCACTCCATGAAAGTCTGACAAATATGTTGAATGTTTTCCATCCGTAAATAGTCTTTTTCCTGCAGTATAACGGCTCCCAAATAGTTTGGAAACTTCAGGTCTTTGCTCTTTGGCAATCTGTTGAAACACCTGATTTCTGCAGAGCAGAAAGGTGCCATAACGTATGCTTTGATAAAGGTGCTGCAACTAGTTTGCTTTGCTCTTTTCACACAGTTTTCACTTTTCAATGGTCAGCTTCTCTGCAACTTGTGTCAGACAGAACGTTCCCATCAATGCCCTCCCTGTCTACACCATAATAGGGAAATGTGACTCATCAATTTTCTTCTTTTCTGTCATCAGGGGCTGAGGTCTTCTTTTAAAATCCATTACTGAGGTGAATCAGTGCAAACTCTCCAGTCACCCTTGAATCATGTCCCTGCTCACTGGTCCAAACCCTGATGCACATCCCTGTTTTCTTGCAATGTGTCCTCTAAAAAAAATAGATTTGACTTCCTTAAAAGAAAATCCATTTGCGTCTCTCATGGGGAAGCCCCTTGCCTTCAGTCACCTCCCAAACAACTGCCAAGACAAGGATTGAAATTAAATTATGCAAACTTCAAAGTAAATAACACCAACAGTCACCAAATTGGCTTTGCTGGAGAATTAATGTGTTAAAAGAGGAGAGTGGGAGTCATCCTTCCTCTTCCTTCATCTGTCCATTCCTTCTTCCCCCACCCCTGGAAAGTCCTTGGCCACGGTGCTTTGGACTGGGGCAACGAGGAGGGGGAAACAATGCGTGGAATGTGTAAAAAAGCTTGAGTCATTCCCACATGTCAACCTCTGGCTCAGCTCCTCCTCTTTTTGAGGGGCTCTGCTCGTAAAATCCAAACCCAGTGCTCCGGCTGGAAATGCCACTGATCCAAACAAAACCCCAAACACTTAACGAGTCGCTTGATACAGGTTCGAAAAACTTATGTAACCTCAATGTGAAAACTAACTAACTAACTAACTAAGTCTTTTAATCAATAGATTATATGTCTAAGAAATTATTTCCCTGTCAGTGCACTTGCTGTTAAACTGACTTTGTTGGCACAAAGAGGAATGTGACTGCAAGTAGATAAATGTCACAGCGTAGAGATGGAATTAGTTATATTTTTAAAAAAGGGAGGTAATTGCATTATTAAACTGCTTAATTACATCCCCAGGAGGTCAATTATTAGCAGTCAGCAGTTTATACCTTAGACAAAATACATTTTTGTCTTTAAGATATGCTTAAACCGATGCATTCCACACATGTGTACAAGATATGAATCATAGTTATTCTTTCTTTTTTAAAAGGCACATAACAGCTGGGGTAAAAATGAGTAAAACCCCTAGACTGGCTTCTTTGCTCACTGTATTTCCTGCCTGACGTCTCAGAAAAAGGAGTGAAAATTCTGTATAATCCTGCATACTTGAATAAAACTATGCAGTCTGTTTCTGCTTATTTGGGAATAAACTAAGCCAAAGCACCACATTAAAGGACATATTCAATAAAACATGGGCATATCTTCATAAAACCAACTTCAGCCTAAAGATTATGAGGCGCACACTGGAAGCGAATCCTGTGGTGGGCTGTCTTAATGATGGCATTTGACTTGGGATTCAAAGTTGGGCAGGATGTTCATAAGCAATTCCAGATATTTCCTCTGCTGAACTGTCCGATAAATGAATGTTTGTTTATAAATGGATGATTCCACTCATGTCTTTAGTCACATATTGTTTGTCATCAGTACACATTGACGTGGGCTGACCCCTTCGTCCCCAAATCGCGCGTCTAGTGTGTGACTGGAACCAAACATTTCCAGATGGAGAATGTGTTAAACAACAACAGAGCGTAAAACCACAAAATATGCTGCAACAAAATGTAAACGAAAGCACGGAAAGAACCGCAAAGACGCGCCACTTAACAAAGAGGCTAAATGGCCTGTAAAAACCGTGAGGTGAAAAATGGCTGCACAGACACCAGAGCCACACCAAGAGGTAGACCATCGATTCTTACAGAAACATTGAGACAAACTGTAACAAAAAATGACAACAAAGACACACAAAACAGTCATTAAGAGACCCAAAACACATCTATCTGCTTTGTGTGCAGTCTTCTAGATTGATTGAAGGGCGTGGGCCTTTTACAAGTTGTTGCTTGGTGGGGGGGGGGGGGGTGGTTGTCACCCCCGCTTTTTGTGGAGGCTTACAGTCCTCTGTGATGTTTAGAAAGGTCTGTCAGCTGTCAAACGAATTAGGTCGTGTAAAAACAAAGGGAGGTCTGTCGAAAATGTCAGTTGTATTTGACCGAACGAACTGTGGCGCGGTCGTAAATCAGTAGCTCAAAGAAAGAAAAAAAACCCAGTTTTTCAGTGGTACAGTCAGTTTGGCGTCCCTTGTAAATTGCGCGTTCACGCGCCTCTCCGGCCAGCCCAGTATCCCCGTTGCGCTCGCGCTCGAGCTCGCGCCAGGCTTGTGAGAGAAAAAAAAAAAAAAGAAAAACTGCAGCGGCTGTTGCTGGAGCCACGCAGTGAGCGAGGAGCCGTGTTCGAAATATCTCCGGCTGTGCTCCGGGAGTTGAGCTCCCCACGCTCGGATTTTTTTTTTTGCCTTTCCCGTCGAGGACGACGCCGTCAAAAAAAAACAACAACCGGGATTTATGGCTGCCAGGTTCGACGGGGAGACGGTCGGC